CATACACATACATACATACATACATACATACATACATACATACATGCATACATACATACATACATACATACATACATACATACATACATACATACATACATGCATACATACACACATACACACATACATACATAAATGCATACATACATACATACATACATACATTCATTCATTCATACATACATACATACATACATACATACATACATACTTACATACACGCATACACACATATATACTTATACATATATATATATATGTATACACACGTGGCACGTGTGTGCCCAGGCTCATACAAAAAAACTGAAGGGGCGTTTGAAGCAGGAGCTGGGGCGGCGCCGCCAGGGCGTGCCTAAGCGAAGGGGAAGAGGCAGGAGGTGAACGCATAATAATATAAGATCGTGAGTGTTGTGTGTTATGTGGGTGGGTGTGATGTGTGCTCTGTGTTGCGCGTGCTTTCTGTGCGTTGTAGGTGTTGTGTGTTTTCTGTGTGTCTAGCGTGTGATGTGTTGGGCTTGATTCCCCACATGTTTCGTGGGGTTCTGGTTTTCTTCCCTGCCGCGCCGCACCCGCGTCTCACACCTCCCCCCTCCCCTTTCTCCTTCTCGACACACAGCACAGCACGGCACAGCACATCTCACCGCACAGCAGCACGCGGTCTCTATACTCGCCAATGTCGCAGGGCCTGGCAGGCGTGGCTTTCCCTTGATGCCACAGGGGGTGCGCTGGGGGTGGGGGCCCACCGCGGTCTCTACACGCGCCAATGTCACAGGGCTTAGCAGGAGTGGCATTTCCTCGACGCCACAAGGGGGTGCGCTGGGGGTGGGTGCCCAGTGCGTTGCAGGCTCCCAGGGCGTGGCAGGCGTGGCATTTCCTCGCCGCCACACGGGGTGCGCTGGGGGTGGGGGCCCTATGCGCTGCAGGCTCCCAGGGCGTGGCAGGCGTGGCATTTCCTCGACGCCACAGGGGCTGCGCTGGGGGTGGGAGCTCGTATCTTGTCAAGAACTGTAAACACCTTGGCTCAAGCCGGCTCGGCGCGCCTGCGCTCTCACGCAGGCGCGCTCCTGTAGTCCTACTTCAGAACACCGCCGGACCTGCGGGGCAGCCATGCCTCCCAAAATCGCCGTAGACGCGCTGCCACCTCCATGTTTGGCGATGAAGACTGCAATGGTTCAGATGGGCGGCGAGGTTAGCGTGGAGACCTCCCGCAGATGCGCCAACGGAGTGGTGCAGTCCGCTTTGAATGCGTACCGCCGCCAGCTTCACAATTGGTGGCCCGATACGCTCTACGCGAGGTATTCGGAGATGAGCGACGGTTGATGGCGTGGCTGGTCTGCTTGATTGGCCTGGCTGGCTGGTCTGATTACTTTGGCTGGTTATGGCTGGAACGAATGATCTGGCTGGTCCGGTCAGTCTGGCTGGTCTGGCTGGTCTGGTCAGTCTCTCGTCAGGATGGCGAAGCGAGATGTGACATGGTTTGTGAACACACGTGACATAAAATAAGTATGTGGGGCTCCTCGGTAGTGTAAGTTGTGTCTCTGTGTGTGCATGTAGTTCTGAGGCCCAAGGAGGCCCCAGGAGGCCCCAGGCTGCCCCAGGAGGCACCAGGAGCCCCCAGGAGGCTCCAGGAGGCCCCAAGAGGCTGCAGGAAGCCGCAGGAGGCCCCAGGAGGCCCCAGGAGGTTCAAGGAGGCCCCCAGGAGGCTCCCAGGCGGGGTCTGGGGTACCAGAAGGTACAGAAAGCCCCAAAAGGCCCCAGGAGGTTCCCAGAGGCCCCCAGGAAGCTCCAAGGCGAGGTCTGGGGTACCAGAAGATGCGTCGGGGCTCGATTGTGGGAAGGTGTCCCAGGCGAAACCGTCATTCTCTGAGAATCGGGATCAACATGATCGAAATTACAATGTGTTTTTGAAGGGTTTTATGTTTCAATGTTGAAGTTCCCATGTGTTTTTTGACCCTGACGTCACGATCTGTGTGAGGGGTGCCACCGGCTTTCAGAATTTCGAAGATGTCTCTAGCGAGGCGGCCAGAAAAAATCGCGAATGACGCGGCGCGTATGCATCAATCGCCTCTGAGCTCTACTCCCTCGGAGAGGTGCGTATGATAATATACACACTAGAACCATCGCGCGCGCTTCGCGCGCGCTCAGGTTCTGGTTGAGGTCACCGCTCAGGTGCGATGCCCGCGACGATTATTACCACGAAGACGGCGGCGTGCACTCCGCTCATGTTCGCACGCCATGCTCCGGAGGAGCGTTCCCGGAGCATGGGGCGCCAGAGGCTCCCCCGCTCTTCCCCCCTCCCGGACTATCCTGCCGAGGAACTCTTGGGTTGCGTAGGGCCGGTCTTGCGGGCTTCCTGGGGCTCTCTGGGCCCGCCTAGGGCTGTTTGGGAGCGGACCTGGAGGCGCGCTGGGCCCTATTGGAGCGTCGGAAAGCCGAAAAGACAAGAAGGCCAAGATCCTCCAATTCCTACGTAAAATGAACAATGTTGGCCTGTTGGGGCCCTCTTGGGGGTGCTCCTGGAGGCGTCTTGAGCCATGTTTGAAACCTCTTGGGAACTACCTGGGGCCTCCTGGGGCTCTCTTGAAGCGGAAGTCCTGGGTTTTCTGGACGCGGTCCGTCTCTGGGACACCTCTCGGGCCTCTTTTGGGGCACTCGTGGGCTGCCTGGGCGCTTCTTGGGCCAGCCTTGGGCTCTCCGGGACCGCCTCGGGACGGCCTTGGGCGCTTCTGGAGCTGTTTGGGGGCGGTCTCGGAGGCCTCCTGGGCCGCCTGGGAGCGTCGGACAGCCGGAAAGATCAGAAGGCCAAAACCCTTCCAAAACTATTGTGAACCATCAATTGTTGGCCTGCTGGGGCCCTCGTGGGAGTGCTCTGGGAAGCGTTTGGAGCCATGTTGGAGGACTCTTGGGAGCTGCCTGGGGCCTCCGGGGTCACTGTTGAGGCGGGAGCCCTGGGTGTTCGGTACGCGGTCCCTCTCTTGGGCCCTTCTTGGGCTTGTTTTGGAGTCGTCTTGGGCTGTCGTGGGTGCTTCTTGGGCCAGCCTTGGGCTCTCCGGGGCCGCCTTGGGCTTGTCTTGGGGGCCTCTGGGGCTGCTTGGGGGCGGACCTGGAGACCTCCTGGGCCGTCTTGGGGCGTCGTATGACCGAAAAAAGCAGAAGGCCAAAATCCTTCCAAAACCGTCGGAAAACCATAATTTTTGGCCTCCCAGGGCTCTCTTGTGAGTGCTCCTGGAAGCGTATGGAGCCATGTTGGAGGCCTCCCGAAACCTCTACCACGTGCTTCGGCGACATGGGTCGAAGATGGGAACCATTCCTGGTGCAAAAACATCACCAGGGTCCGTCCAGAGCCGCTCGGGAAACGCCCCGGAGCGGCTCTGGAGAGGCCTGGGGGGGGGGTCCCTCCATGGCGACTCGAGGCAGCTGGCCAGAGGCCCCCGGCCCCGTACCCCGACACACACACACACACACACACACACACACACACACACACACACACACACACACACACACACACACACACACACACACACACACACACACACACACACACACACACACACACACACACACACACACACACACACACACACACACACACACACACACACACACACACACACACACACCACACACACACACACACACACACACACACACACACACACATATATATAATATATATATATATATATATATATATATATATATATATGTGTAAATACTCCTCTTCCTATATTTTTACAAGCCCGGGCGGAGGGGGGGTCCTCCCTGAAAAAACCGGACTCCTGGGATCTGGGGCTTTGGGACCCTTCGGACGGGCCTCGAAGCGGCCCCCCGGGCCTCGCAGGGCGTTTTGCCAAGCCTTCCCAGCACACCTAGGGCGATCAGGGATGTCATCGGAGATGTCCCAGAGACCCCCAAGACAGCAAAAAGAGCGCGCCAAGAGTGACCGACGTGACCTCAAGATGGCCCAAGAGGCCTCCAGGACGACCCCAAAGAGGCCTCCAAGAGCACTCCCAAGAAGGCCCCAAGAGGCAACAATCATTGATTTTCTTCTGGTTTTTGGTCGAGGTTCTCCTCTTTTCGGCTTCCCGACGCTCCAAGACGGCGGTCTTCTGGGCGTCCGAAGCCGCCTGTGAGGCTCCGAAATCGCCCCACAACCATCCGAAAGGGCTTCCAGGCAGGCAATCCAAGAGAGCCCCAAAACGGCACAACACGGGTCCAAGATGGCCCTCAGAGAGCCCCATGGCGGCCCAAGATGGCCCCAAGACACCCTCCGCAGCATTCCAAATCGTGACCCGGTCGTTCAGGGAGACCGCGGTTGGAGGCAGGGTGGCCCGAGGAAGCCCCCAGAGGCCCCCAGAATACGCCCAGGAGGCATCCAGAAGGCCTGAAGAGAAAGCCTGAAACAACTTTTGTGAGGCCCCCAGAGGCTCTCCAAGGAGGAGCCTCCGCAAAAAAGAGCTGAGGATGGGGAGAATGCGCAGGGTATGGCGGAAATGCAAAAAAGAAGCATGGAGGAAGGATGCCGAATAACATTATTATAGCGGCGCCGGAAAAGGCAACAAGGAGTTATCGCTAAACTGTCGGCTTGACCTTCCTGCTGTTCCGCCTGCACACCGAACTTCAAGGACCAAGGTGCATGGCGCGAAGCGCCACTGCAATCTTGTGTGTATATATATGTGTGTGTGTGTGTGTGTGTGTGTGTGTGTGTGTGTGTGTGTGTGTGTGTGTGTGTGTGTGTGTGTGTGTGTGTGTGTGTGTGTGTGTGTGTGTGTGTGTGTGTGTGTGTGTGTGTGTGTGTGTGTGTGTGTGTGTGTGTGTGTATCGAGGTCGTTGCTTGGCTGGATCCGAAGACGGCAATGAAGACGACGACGACAACGACAACGACGACGACGACGACGACGACGACGACGACGACGACGACGACGACGACGACGACGACGACGGCGACGGTGACATCCACGACGACGAGAGCGCCGCGCCCGCGGCGCGCCCGGAGCCTTCTTGCGCGGGTCGCCCTTCGGGAACACGCGGCCTCTGGCCCCCCGGACTCCCTGGGGCCTCCCTCGCCCCCTCGCCCTCGCCGTCGCCCGTCGCCTGGTGCTCGTCCGTCGTCCGTCGCCCGTCGGAGTGCTTCGTCGCCCGTCGCTATCCTCCGCCGACATCGTCTTCCTCGTTGGCGTCGCCCGCGGACGTCCATCGTCGCCGTTCGTCGGCCTCATGCCTCGCCCCGCGCCAGCGGCCGCCCTCCCCCACTCCCGCCGCATCCTCCCCACACTCCCCGCCACCGTTTCCCATCCGCCCTCCCCCCTCTCTCCCGTCCCCTTGTTCCCCCTCCTCCTCCTCCTCCTCCTCCTCCTCCTCCTCCTGCTCCTCCTGCTCCGTCCCCCGCTCCTCATTTTCATCATCCCCCCCACCCCTCTTCCTTTTCCTCCTCGCTCTCCTCCTTTTCCTCCTCCTCCCCCACTCATCCGCCTCCTCCTCCTCCTCCTCCTCCTCCTCCTCCTCCGCCTCATCCGTCCTCCTTGTCGGTTGAGCGCGACAGGGGTGGCGTCAGAGGCGCCGCCAGGCTGCTCCTCCTCCTCCTCCTCCTCCTCCTCCCGTTCCTTCTCCTGCTCCTTGAGGGATCGCTCGAAGGGACCCGCTCAGAGAGGCAAACATCGACATGGACGCGTAGATACATCGACGAGATATCAGCGATCTGTCCTCGACGGCGAAACCGCACGTTTTCGGGCGGGTGGGCTACCAAACACCTTATCGGCGATGAGTGGGCGATTGGAGATCGATGGTTCCCCGCCGTGGTATGGAACTCTCATGTTGTTCAGGATTCGCTGTCGTCGCGCAGCTGTCCGCTTGGGACAACAAGTCGCCTTCCCAACAGCAGCCGCTGTCGTTGTGTAGACGACATTTGCTATTAGGGCGTCCAAGAGGGGGGGTCGCAAAGCAGCATGGCCCGAGGCATGTACGCGGCCCAGGAGGGGCCCAAGGACGTATTGAGTGTGAGTGGCCTTGGTCTGAGTGTGGCCGTGGATGAGTGAGTCTGGAAGTGAGTGAGTCTGAGTGTGATTGAGCATTGGTGTGAGTGGTTTGAGCCTGATGAGGGGAGGAAAGAGGCGGGAGTGCGTGACGAGGCGGAATTGTCACACGAATAACAAGAACCCAGTACTTAAGATATGCGGTGCAAGAAGGGTGGGAGGTCATGAAATCCAAAGAGACATCATAGACCCGGCGATACGACCGCGAGGCCGCTTGGCAGCGGGAATCCTCCGGGGGCCCAGGGAGCAGGCAGGGGGAGGGAGGGAGGGAGGATGGATGGAGGATGGAGGAGGATGGAGGAGGAGGCGAGATGAGGATGGAGGAGGAGGAGGACGACGAGGAGGAGGAGGAGGATGTAGGAGGGTGGAAAAGGAGGCGATGGATGGAGGAACATAATGGAGGAGGATGAGGGAGAAGGATGGAGAATGGAAAGAGGAGGAGGAGGAGGAGGAGGAGGAGGAGGAGGAGGAGGAGGAGGAGGAGGAGGGGAGAGGGAGGAGGAGGAGTGACAGCACAGGACGAGCGCCGATACCGCTCCCTGTGCGCGCGGGCGCGACCGCACCTCCTTAGGAGGTCGGCCGCGTTGTGGGTCCCCATTATATCTTCTGGTCCTTCTGTCCAGCGGCGCCGTATACCATGTGGGAGGAGCCAGGGGGGTAAGGAGGAGGGAGGAGGAGTAAGAAGAAGATTGCGAGCGTGCCCGGGGGGAGAGGGGCCAGAAACAGGGCCAACTACAAGCGCCAGCGGGGGGCGTTCTTCCTTGATCCAAGTCTCCGACAGCATGACCTTCTCAGTGTGGGCGATTCTCCGCGACTTCAACCTCTAGGGACCCTTATCGGGCCCCGGGGCCATCAAACATGGACCCAGGATTAGGCCGGGCATGCCCCCCTACAGGCGGATTTTGAATGACAAATAAAACATTACAAATAATATACACACATATATGTATATACATATACATATATATATATATATATATATATTAAAACGCCAGCAGACATACCCCAAAGTGTCCACAAATAGTCAAAATATCGTCCCCAGGCGATTTTATGACAATTTTTGAAGATTCCTCCTGTAGAGAGACGTGCCCGACTTAAACGCAGGACGCAAAACTCTTCTCGGGAGAGGGTCGGGGAGGGCATTGGAAGAATCATCGTCGTCGGATGCGTGGGGATGGGGGGGACTCAACGGGAGGCACGGAAACGTGCGCATGTCCACCATCTTTGGGGCTCGCGGTGGCAGTTTAGGATCCGCTTAGGACCCCATGGCCAATGTAGGGGCACCTTCCTGCAATACTCGACCCGCCCCCTCCCCCCCCCCCCCGTTTTTTTGCCCTGAACTGCCGAGCGTCCAAGGCTTTCAGCCTGCGCTACCGGGGAAGTCGATGCCGAACGCGGGGGCGCTGTACGGCAGGTTCGCGTCGCGACGACCCAGGCGTAAGCTCATGACACCGGGAGGATCGTTCAACCTTGAACGACCAATGGCTTCTCGATCGCCAGATCGTTCCAGATCAGCCGATTCTGGGCCGCTGGCGGCGTTCAACCTTGAACGCCCGAGCTGGGGTCGCCGCCGCGTCGACATAACGCGACCTGCCGTAGCGGAACTCCCAGACCTCCTCCATTTCTTTTTCCTTATAAGCAGCTCCTCCCTTTCGCACCCCAGACGTGTCCCTAGTCCGGGCTCGGCGTTTCGCCTGAGAATTCCTCACCGTTCTAATCCTGAAGCTTGCAACCTGCAACCGTCTCAAGGAGGGAACGCGGGACGTTTTCGCCAGGAAACCCTCGCCTTCGCACCGCGCTAATTCATTCGCAAGGTTTGCAGCTGTTTCAGAAATTGATGACGAACAGTTTTCAAAATTGAGCGCTAGCCCTAACGCCAAAAACATGAATCCCGAAAACATGAAGCATGTGTAAAGGTGGAGGTCTGTTCCCTTTCAAGATGTGGTTCTCGCCTTAGCGCCGCGAACATTCCACTTCACACTTTGCAACATGTTCACGGACTAACTGGGCTGAAATCCTAGGAGCAGTGTTCTGGCACTGATTGGGATCGTCACAACGGAACAGTCACGTGGACTCGCAGTGTTGAAGACTCTTTGGCACCATGATTGTCAGGACGTCACAATCACATTGGTTCCCGAAGTTGAACTCCCAGGAGTGCTGATCTAAGGCATTCCATGATTACCGAATGCTTCTGAATGTTTAAAATGCCGGGCTCCTGAAAATCCAAAGTTGACAAAAACTGTATGTGGTTGCCTGATGTTCATGGTCCTTGCGAGGCAGTCTCGTTTTGGCATGCAAGGGGAAGTGACATCCTGATGGTTTGAATTCTTCGGGCGGTTGTCTTTCAATGTGCCACTTCCTGCAATGATTACAACTTCTCGTAGGGACCTATGGAGAAGGAATTTGCAGAGAGGGTTCATTGCAACATCGTGGACGCGTCTTGGGTTCACACTGGCCATCCTCCTCCTCATGCTCATCATCATCACTACCGGATGTTTATTTGAAATCGCATTCCGCCAGAGATCTGGACACCCCCATGGCAAGCAGGCCGCCAGGGAGGGACTGGAAGAAACCGATGTGCGCACAAGCTCCGCCCGCAGTAAAGCGACCCCCCGCAGCTTGCCTAGAGATATAACTTCCACTTGTTCATCCCGTTTCCTTCTCTTCCTCCTCCTCCTTCTCCTCACCTCCTCCTGGTGTCTCGCGGATGATGCTTCCCAGCCGTCGCCGCTAACATGGAGGTTCAAATCTTCTTGAGTCCGCGGCACTTGCGGCAGCGAGTATGGCTTGGACCGGCCAAGCGTTCTGGTGTCGCGGACTCATGCCATCGCGGCCCGCAGGGAACATGATATGATGTATGACCTTGTATGGAGAGGGCTCGGGACGAAACTGCGTGTTGCAGCATCGTCGGTGCATCCTGGGGTTCACTCTGGTCCTCTGTCCTGCCCGTCCCATTCTGGCAACTCTGGTCATATATCCACCTCCTCCACCTGTCATCTTCCTTCTCCTCATCCTCCTCCTCCTGCTCCCACCTCCCTCCTCTTCAACTCCCAAATCCCCCCCCCCTCATCAACCTCACCCCTTCCCCCTCCTCCTTTTTAACATTTCTTTTTTAAGAAGAAAACCTCTGGCATATTCGCACGAGCTCCAAGCACGGCTTTGGCAAAAACTGTCGAGGCACATCCTGGCCGGCTTGAGCCCCCCTTGGCGGACAACAAAAGCACAAACACTCTATTCCACTGGATTCGCCACGAGACTAAACCAGCAGCATGTCGTACACACTTTCGACTCCAAGGAGGCGGAGGGGAAGGAGGAGGCGAGGAGGAGGGAGACGAGGACCGGGAGAGGGCAACAGAGGAGAGCATCAAACGTCAAGCACTCCTGGACCGTCACACGAACCGACCTGCAAACCCGAGGACACATCCCAAACCTGGAAAACATTCGGGGCGTGCCACGTGCATGTATCCCCCAAGGCCTAGACAGCCGATGATACTACCACAACAATCACGCGGGGACGAGGGGAGAGGAGGAGGAGGGAGAGAAAGGGGGAAGGAGGAAACAAGTGGAAGCCGAGACCGAGTTAGTGTCAATGGGATACCCCCCATTAAAGCTGCCAAGGGACAGCGCGTCTGCTGAACGCGGGCCATGTCACGAACAAAGAAACTGGAAATCAGCGGCGGCGGCGGCACGGCGAGGAGGAGGGAGGGAGGGAAGAAAATGGGATAAACTGGCGACCTACAGAGCCACACTAACAGCGGACTGCTCTTGCTGAGTCCTCCATTTGAGGTGTTGCCCAGACCTGGAGCTTCCAGCATGCGGGGGCGAGCGAGGAGGGGACAGGCACAGGAGGCGGAGAGCAGGCCCACCCCAGCAGGGATAGCCGGCGCTCCGCCTCCGGGGAGGCGAAAGCGGGAGGAAAGAGACGAGGGAGAGGGGCAACACCAATCGGCTGCTCGGTGCAACATGTCCCCTACTCCACCGGCCATGCGGCCGGGACATG